GAATGAACTTCCATTATGCGACGCGTTCCTCTTTATCGAACCCCCGCCTCGGCTTGCTTGAAATTTTCAACGTGCTTTTAGAAATAGAAGCTCCAGCATCTCGGTGTTTATCTGCTTTTATCCCCGAAAGAATTCAGGTCTGCCAGAAAATCATCCGCAATGCCGGTAAACGAGCAGAAATATTTTTGAAATACGGCGAGTTTAATTGCTTGCAGGGGGATAGCTAATGATCGTTAATTATATCGAAAGCTCTGCACGATTTATCCGACGATTATCCGTATTGTCCGTTTATAACCTATTTCTGCCTTTTCCCCGATTCTACCTTTCAAATTGGACGCTTTAATCGATGCGAATTTATCCATTATTTAACCGAGTTAATTGTAACATATGAATATGTAACTTTGAACTACGCGTTATATCGCCACGAGTCGGATCATCGCACGGTGCAGTAAATTTGCATAAATGAAAATGTCAGAGAAACCGCAAAATAATGGGCGGAGTTTCGAAAGCGTTCGAGTAAAGCGGACCCAAACTGTGCAGAAAAATTAGCGCGTCGAATGAAAATAAAATTACCAAGGTGGTTACTCGTAATTTACATAAAGCTAAATGTCAGAGAAATTACGAAGGAGTTGCATTTCAGAAGTGTTCGAGTTATAAGCTTCTGGTAGCGCGATATCGAATTAAGTATAAAAATATCCGCGAACCTAACCCGAAGTGCTTTTAATTTGCATACAATTAAACGTTACGAAATTGCAACATAATGAACAGGTTTAAGCAAGACATGAAACTTTGTAGTTTCTCGAGTCAGGTCTCGGTTCATTCTCGATTCTTGTTAAGTTTAATCAAGGTGTGGTAAGCCTCGGCTTAGGGTATGTTCACATGAAATTGTAGGATTTCAGTTCGATAAACGATCTCGGTAACGTTTCAAAGGGGTGCTTTCGAGATCCTTCGCCGCGATCTTGGACCTTGTTACAGGCAATTCCGATAAAGGAGACTGTATGGTTTTCTCCAATCAAATGACGGAAACTATCGAATAAAGGACTTGATTATGCAACAGGTGAGCACTGCTTTTAAACTAATAATTCGATTTGGCCGTTTTAAACGCTATTGTTCCTGTTTAGTTAACGAATTTTGCTCGGAAAATACTTTTATTAAAGGTGGAAGGTCGAAAATAATAATAATAATTAACGAAAAATAATAAATGCTGAAAGTGTTGGATAAATATTATTAATCTCGGCGTGCCATAAAGAGCGAAATCTGATAAAAAAGTTGTAAATTCTAGTGCATTCGCGTTTGAACAATCTAGCGATAAGAAGGTATTATATAATATTACGCTTAGTACAGCAGTGAACAAGAGTAAACGACATTTTGACGACCATTATGAGTTACTCGAATGGTTAAACCGCCCTTATCGGTTCCGTTACACTACCACAGCGCGAAGATAAACGACGAACATCCTTTACAACAACGTCGTTAATTTTTGAGATTACTTCAACGTCCGAGTGTATACTGAAGAGCCACTTCTTAAAACTGGAGGGTCAGAACCGGCAGTAATTAGGCCCGTGACATTATTTAACCGCTGAATCGCCATGTAAAACCCTGACGCGACAACATGTGGACCAATCTATAATAAACATAATTAATCCTGCTATATTTCTGAAGCTTAGAAAATTTATTAAATAGGATTTTACAAATTATTAGAGCGATCTAATTGGTACATTGCATCGCACTAATTTTCTAATTATTTAACTGAGTTCGATCTCCGGTGTCAAAACGTTCAGAAGTATGGATCGTCAAGTTTTTAAGAGAAAAGTATTATTGGTTCGAATTACAGATCCACTAGAATGAAGCTGACGAACGTTCGAGCACTTCCTGTTTCAATCTACAATGGGTTCCTTGAACGCATTTCCGTTCGTCTGGAATTCAATATCTATGGAGAAGGGAATCTGTCGCTTTTAAAATAATAGCGTCGTAAGCGAGAAGGTGGAACTAAATAAAACGAAGGAAGGAAAATTTTCAGAGTGTCCTTAGAAATACTATAATAGATTTAAGTAATTAAAAGCCTTGATAGAAAAATTCCTGTAAATACCAGAGCAACCTAATATTTTTACGGCAGTTTAATAAATAAATGCAGTAGCGATTAATCGGTACATAGATAATCCACGAGACCTGTGTTGTGGAAAGTGAACGAGTCTCGTGTAATCTAACGGAAGCGGAAAGCTGCATCGATCGGCATTTCTAAGGTCTGCGCATTATGGGGGTTCGTGTGCGGTCGGCCTAATGGTATTATTCAACCCTTAATACCAGGTTGCTTTGAGGTCGTTGACCAACCGGTCGCCAGTATATTTTTTCCGTTTCATTTTTAATTCGCTTCACTACTCTTAATTAACTTCGTTTCATTCAGGAGAATTAACGAGAACAGACGATCTAAAAATGGCACGACCAACACGCGTACAAGTAGAATGGTTCATTGTCACAAAAGGGAGTTCATCGGCGTCATCCATGCGTTACGCAGCGTCACAGATAAGGTCACGATACTCTTGCTTTCGAATATATGTAATTAACGTTCCGTAATTAACATCAAGTACACGAAACCCACGTGCATTCTCTTTATTAACTTTTCAATTACACGTATACCATTCTGTGACATTTAACCTTTTGATTATTCAACAAAAAATTTTGGGAGGTATAACTTCTAAATTTTTGTACGATGTACGTGGTTTCACAAAAAAATTGAAGTAGAATTCCTAAGCAAGTCAATACCGAGGATAGAACCGATTAAAAGAATTCGTAAAAAATTTGTAAAAAGTGATTTAGTTAGCGAAGAAAAATTTCTTTCGAACACAGCAGAGGCATTTGGTCAAGCGAACCACCTTAAGGTTCACGTACGCCGTCGATCGCGATCTTAACGTAAAGTTAGCGTGTGCCTTATCTATCAGCAGGTCTAACCCTAAGTTACGAAAGTCCTTCGAACACCAACGAGAAAAGGACTTGACTTTCCAGCAATTTCTAATTGGTCATTTTACAAAGTCCACGTGTAATCGTCAAGGTTGGGCTTTCAATGTTAACTCGTGACTTTCCAAAAATATTATTAAAGCTCACGCTGGTACAAAATACCGATCATACGACAACCAATGACTCGATATTCCATGGGACAGATATAATAGAAAAATCTCTTTTAACGTCAAGTACCGATAATTGATTAATCGGTGTAAAAAATTCTGTACGCGAAGAAGGTCAAATTCCAATCGCTAAAATTTAGGATCACTTTCGACCACTTACTGGCACGCGAGAACGTTTATGATATTTGAAAAAGAGAAAGAGGAAGTCCACTGATAGACTGTAATCATTAATGATTCCGGGGCTTGTTATTAAGGTCGTTATCGACCTGGATTATGATAAGGTCTAAAAATTCCAAGGTTTTGGTCGTCGTTTACCGACACGCGAGAGTGCTCCAGGGTCCTCTATTCGATTTTCTGGCCGAGTTTCTGCTTTGAAATAGAATTTTTGCTACGATAAATCTCGAAAGCAATGATTGACAGTGTACACCGATAAATCGATATCTTCTAAAATATTGCAAATTCCCGGGAGTGCTATTGGATCTCGCAACTTCCTGAACGTCCCATGTAAATTTCATACGGTAGATCAGTTTTCTACGCCACTCTATTTCGTCCGGATTTGTGAGATGGTTCGAATTCAGGGGTATCAGATATTCGTATGATATCCTTGTTTTCGATGTTTGATAGAGGACGCGAAGGGAGACGGTCGTAAATCAAAGGAGCAGCTAAATGGATTCGAGAAATTCCAGTTGGATCGAGAGGCAAATGTTGGCCATACTAACTGTACCAAGTATCCGAGTTATCCCGATCGCGTCGATCCTTCGGCCGTGAATATTGTTCCTTGGCAGGCTTCCTGACAGGGACACTTTTTTCCCATTTTCCTTTTTCGCGGATCCTGCCAAATCTGCGACTGACCTACTGAACTGAAGGCAATTTTCAAAGGTGACCTTTAAGTAATTGCTCGGTGCGGATATATTTCGTCGTTCTATTTGGAAGCGAAGGGTATTGCAAGGTGCGAGATATTTAGTATTCGAGTAACGCAGAAAATGAGAATTCGACACATTATCGCGCGTTGTATGACCAAACTTTGAAGCACGGAGTAATAAATGGCTTCGACCTTTAGAAGACGATACAAAACCTCTTTGGTAACCGTTGATCGCGTTAACCTCGGGTAATTGAACCCTTCTTCCCTCTCTCTATCACCCAGTTTTCCCATCTCACCCTGTCTCACCCTTTCGTATCTACTTTGCCGGATACCGCGTCTTCCGCTATCTTTAACCGGTGCTAGATACGCTCTTGAAAATTTCGTTACACTCGAAAGGCTCGACTAACCCAACAAGTTACGATGTTTGGTCGTGTTCTGATATTCAGGGAAAGCTTCGGGTCAGACGTTCACTTCGGGAACTTGATGAAAAAATAATGAAGCTCGGTGAACGAATCCGGTTCGGTCGGTTTTTATTTGGAACGAAGAAATCAAACCTTCACCTCGTTTTCTTGATGCACACACTAGGAGATCGTTGAAAAGTCACAACAGGTGGGATAACCAAGACAATTGCCTGAGGCATCGGCCACGATAGAGTGCCAAGTGTGCACGAGTGCAAAGCAAATAGCGTCTCGAGAAAGCTTAGGAATTTGAACGGAATATAGGAACACCGCGATTTTAAATGGCAAAACTTTTGTCCTCCGATTATCCAATCAATGCTCCGTTTCTAATTTTAACTCGATGTTGCGTTTCTAATTTTAAATCCTATTAGGCTATTATGTTTTGTATCGCTTTACCAAATACGATTATAGTTTGTCGCGAAACGATTAGAACATACTATAGACGACTATAGTACGCGATATTTAGAGCACGATTGTTTTCAAGGCGCAATACAATTTGGGTCAAATGCACCCCAAAAAGTTTACAAGTACAGAAATAAAATTTGTGAGGTCACTCACGATTTTGTGATGAAGATGCTGGAGTTCTCTCTCTGTGACCCTTCTCCGAGACAATTCGCGCTGCTCCCGCCTGTATTGGCTGTACTTATAGAAGAGGTACATGCCAGGAAGTGCCAAGACGACCAGGGGTTTCATCAGACCGGCTCTTCCGCTTCCTCCACGAACCCGTGGCTCTGGAGGCTCGTCCAGGTCCTCCAGTTGGCCAGCACCTTCGGCTACTGCCGGTACAGCTGGCATTTTGAATTATCTGAAACAGGCAATTAATTTGTTAGAATCGATAATGTGTATTTCAACGAAATCTGCAGAGTCATAAGTTTCAGAGTCAGAATAAATAAAAATGTATAAAAGTTGTAGCCACTGTTCAAGATACTTTATAGCGTACGGACGAAGAACAATGTGCTGCTGTCCTTTCTAACTGATCGATTATTTGTAATCGTATGTTACGGTGAAAGTTTGTATAGGATTCGCGACAAAGAGAAACCGTTTCGGTGTTGATTAATTAGTGACATAGCCTCCGATTACTAGCGTGTTAGACAATGGCCTGTCCCGGTATATTGTACTTCATTGAGGATATTGAAACGACACGGTTACCGTTCCAGTTGCCCGGAATGTGGCCGATAGAGAAGTGTAACCTCCAAGTCCCATAATGGGTCATTTGTACGGACCAGATAATCGGCTGGAAACTACGAAACTCTTCGCGTCCGTTCGGAACTTCTGCGCTCGGTAAAAGAACAATATTTGGGGTGAAATGAAGACTAAGAAAAACGATTTTTTCACGGTTATGTCACACGGTATAAATAATGTATTCTTTCATTACTGCGAATAAAATTATTTAAAGTGAGGTACATCTCGGAACATTGGTTTTTTAATCGAATTCAAGAGACGAAATTTTAGGTCACCAAGGAACGATTATTGGCTATTGGGTTCCCATCAAATCGTTTTTTATAATTCCTTGGCCCCAATTGTCAAGCGTATTTCGTGCAATTTTTCTTCCTCATTTTATCGATATTTGCAATCCTCGTTAACGTCACTCTAGTGTATCCGCGATGAAGCTTTCTGTAGCAGACGGTTGTTAACAAGAATTGCTTACACGATACCGCCGGTGATACTCGGTCGAGACATATTTTTGTTATTAGTCACGTCAAAGTTCAGCGAAGCAGAATCGAATCAAGGTTCAATCAGACCGAGTGAAATCGAGGTTCGATCAAGTTCAGACAAATCGACATTCGCTTCCATTGCACTAGTGCGAAATAAAAGTTCGCATTTTGAACTATTTGGAGTTACTACGAGCGTGTCTATCGATTAATTCTCGGGACACGATGGGAACGCAATCTACTCTCGAGGATGATCGGACAACGAGTTACTCTGACGGATTTCCGTGACTTCAATGAAATTTCGTAATATACTTGCCGGTCGTTCACCAGCTATCTTTAATTCACCCGTCTAGTTGCTGTGCTATTCTTAACCAGTACTCTAGAAATACACGCGCTCGCTCTATATCGTCGTCCGTGCCTGGGTCATGCACCCTTCGTTCATTGCAGTTTGCACGGAGATGCAATTGAGTCTGTGTTACAACGAGCCATTGGTGTAACGACAGAGCTGATCCTATTGCTTCGAGTCTGTAAACGATATATTTGACTAGCTATCGGTTACGACACTGCAATCTCATCGAACGACCGAGCAAATTTCTTCTGCGAGGAGATGAAAAGGTCTCAAAGATCAAACGACGAAGAAACTTTTCAACCGGTGTATTAACTGTGAATTTGTGTTCGGAACATTCTGTTGGCTATACTTCTGAAGGTTTCCGAATTTAGGCCATCTAAATACTTTTTACCTTAGGTGATAATGAGGACATAGGAAGGCAACTTTGAATCTAAGTCAGTGTTAAATTTGTAGGTTACTGTATCGGCAAGATTACTTGTAGTAATAAATAACTGTGTAAGTCAGATCGTTCCTCACGGACGTATAGCCAACAGTAGGAGAATTAAAAATAAAGCTAACACGAGCATAAAACATATTGTCATAAAACGAATACTGAAGCGTGCGTAAACAGAAGATCGCGATGATTCATGGTAACGGACAATATGGCTAACCATTCTGTTTTATGAGATTCGCCGAAGTCGACAAACACTCATCGACGTTCGTCGGTCATTCTTTTCGTGCTACGCAAGTATACGAGTGTTTGCAGTGTTCGTAGGTCCATTATCAATAATAATCTGAATTACAAATGCTGCCATTTACGTAATTATACGATATCGCAAAATAGACTATGATTATCGAGTGTACATTGTTCCTTTACGACGAAGATACTGCAGCTCAGAATATTGCGTGTAATCTGGTTGAAACAGAAAACTGGTTAACGAGGTGCGTGGACGACATATATAGTCGTACACGCGTTATCACCTTGGGAGGTAATATATTATCGGAAATGAATCAATATATCGACTCGTTGTACGGTTCGCACTCGACATTATGAAAACGTACACCACCTCGGGGATTCGTTGTTTTTCAACCAAGGGCAAGGTCGTTCGCACGATTTTTACCTATTGCATAGTTTGTACGATCTAGACAACTAGTTGCTGTCTATTCGTATTCTACTCTATTTGTAATGGACCAGTATTAAATATAAACACACAAATAGAATGACGCGTTGTCAAAATGTAGAAGCAACGAGACAGGACAAAGCGAAGGAGTGGTCGAACCGTGTTCAGAGAAATTATGACGCTGCTATCATCGAGGACTATCGTACCGATCTAATATTACAGGTACGTATGCGTTTTGCCTTGACATGTCGTAATGGCGGTCGCAAGAACAAGGACACCCACCGCGGCAGGATAACATCGTATCGGATAGGCTACGGCCAAGTACACGTCGTCCTGCTCGTTTCTATTTTTATGCCGTTTTCTGTTGTTCGGTACCGTTCGATCGCCGTGTTGCACACGATTAGAATCGATTTGCCCACTCTTTCCTCATCCTCACGTGACTCTACGCGAAGCCTGATGCCGTGACAGCTGAAGCTCGATTTTAATCGTTTTCATTTGTCGCGGAGACGTCGATACCTCCGCTCGAACGAGTTCCAACTTCCCATGGATTTTCGACCCCGCGTTTCGTTTCGCCAGCCCCGTGGTTAAACAAACGAGTAAACGAGTGACCAGATTGGCCCACTGGGACATTTGAGCTTCATCGAATCGCTAGGACGAACGTTTACGCGCACATGCAACCGGTAATTATTTATTAAAACTCTCCGACGATTATAAAATACTAAAGTAACGTGTACGTAAACACGGATCACGACTGTATGTACGAACGCACCATCGTGCAAAAGTCGCGAATTCCATCGGAACACTGACACTCCTACACGAATCAGGCTTTACTCGGTCGCAATTAACACACGTATCGATTCCGTTCGCATGATCGACAGAGTAAAGCTACGTACAACTAAATACACTTTCGTTCATGCAACGGCTCACGATAAAGGAAAGTGATGGTCACAAAGCACTTACGTTCGTGGTTGGTGGTGAGCCGATGGTAGCCGTGATCGCGCGTGCTTGTCCAAGTGGTGTCGAACGTGAGATGAAAGCGAGAGAGACAGAGGAACGTGGCGAAAAAACACACGTTAGGTTAACAGTCCTCCTGCGCCGACGGAGGACACGAGAGAGCGTCCCTCGTGCGCTCAGCTCAGCTCGTTCGAAACATCGCCGAGCCGCGAGTGTGTTTGCTGCTGTACCGGCGGCCGCACTGAGCGCCTGCAGCGAGGACTACCTCGCACCGGGTCTGGCTCGTGTCTGTTCGCGGCGGATCGTTCGTTTCCGGGGCTCGTCGGTCGAAACCGCCACCACCCGTTCGACCTCGATGCTTTTTGGCGGTCTTCGAGGAACTTCGGACACCTGCGCGCCACTTCGGCGCACCTATGCCGAGCACAGGGATGTAACTACCCCCAGAAACTATGGTTCGTGTACAAGGGACCCACGTACGAGATTTCAGATCTTGTCCAATCTCACGTTCTACTTATTCTTTCCAGCATTGAACTTCTTAAGTTTTATAAATTGCGTTTTAAGGGTATTGATTGCGATAAGTTTGCGAGGTTAGCACTCAGATTGCTGTTTAACTTATTTGTAAAAATCATTGACAAGTACTGACATTTCGTTGCTGACTGTTTGGAGTATTTGTATAAATATGAAAGGGTTCATTTCTGATGCGTTTGTGATCCGATTGAAATAACCAAACAACCAAATACACAGTTTCTTAAAAAATGTCTTCGTGGAAATGTAATTGAAAAACGTCTGGAAGTTTCAATTTCTGAGCACTTTTACTTCAATTTACGTTCGTCGAGCAAATATTTTTAATACGGAAGTTTCAATGAGTAGCCGGTTTACCTCGCAAGGTTAAGGGTAAGGGTCAGGAGACGCAATAACGGTACTACTCAACGCTGCAATAATGCTTCGCGTTAGTTCGCCCTCTGCAGAGATTAATTTTCAAGTATTCGGGACATATCTTATATCCCAACGTCTGATCGCTATTGTAAGCGCCTTCATCAAGGGTTCGGAGACAAAATGATAGTACCCAAAAGCATAATGAAGGTTATCTTAGTTAATCGTATACATATACAGCTCATTCATGGGAATGATCGGCGGAGAGAGCAGCAATCGATCATTAGTGGTTGTACGAGCACCCTTCTAGTGGCAATATAGTCATAGCTGCAGCAACGATATAGATAGGGCTAGATTGAAAGCTCGAGAGTGATGTCGCGACATTCAGGAGCGCATACCGCGTTTCGGATAAGGGTTTGAATATCTACTGCATGAAACGACACTCTGCTAAAGATTTGAACGGATCTTTATCTTTGTTAGATCGGTATTAACCGTTAATTGGATTGGTTTGGCGGTCTTCGAGGAACTTCGGACACCTGCGCGCCACTTCGGCGCACCTATGCCGAGCACAGGGATGTAACTACCCCCAGAAACTATGGTTCGTGTACAAGGGACCCACGTACGAGATTTCAGATCTTGTCCAATCTCACGTTCTACTTATTCTTTCCAGCATTGAACTTCTTAAGTTTTATAAATTGCGTTTTAAGGGTATTGATTGCGATAAGTTTGCGAGGTTAGCACTCAGATTGCTGTTTAACTTATTTGTAAAAATCATTGACAAGTACTGACATTTCGTTGCTGACTGTTTGGAGTATTTGTATAAATATGAAAGGGTTCATTTCTGATGCGTTTGTGATCCGATTGAAATAACCAAACA